CACAAACATTCTCAAACAAACTCCTGAGGCATTCGCAGAACAATTTTATACTGAGATTGAAAACGCATAGCTAAACTCTGCTTATGACTAGAGTTGACCTCTAGGGGAAATTAGCTGCATTTAACTTGGTTAAGTGGAGCCACTCGATTTTTCATCTATAAAATCCTAATAAAATAAAAATAAAATAAAATAAAACAAAGTCTGTGTTATGAAGGAAACAATTGGTTGGAATACTTCTATAGCAGACTGCATGAGTAATGTTGATGCTTATTGTACAAATTAAGCTTGGTGAGTTTCTTCCAAAACGTGGCTTCTGCCCAGTTCTCCTCTAATGCAGCTACAGAATAAATGCACACACCTTTTTCTCACTCCTTCCACTCTACTCCCCCTCATTCTTCTTACCCTCCTCTGTTTAAAGAACAAGCCATGTGGGAAAAGAAGATGGAAAGAAAGAACATAAAGAATTCTCCTTAAATGTATATTGTTTTAGCATTTCTCACTGCTTACTTGAACATATACTGTGTAGCAAGCACTAAATTATTTTAACCTCACCTTTTTTTTTTTTTTCCTTTTTTCCTTTTATCTGATCTGACTTCTGCCTGGATGTTTGATGATTACTCAGCAAAACTGACAGCCAACCTTTTCTGCAAATTGTCTGTTTCATCCTACAAATTCAGGTGAAAAGCGACATTGAAACCTCACTGTCAGATACTGACTATGCAACCACAATATCCTCTGAAACTTTCACAAGCATAAATAGCGGTACATGTAAATGTGTTCACTGAATGTCATGAAAAAAAAAAAGTAACCCAATTTCCCAAATCCATTTTGCAGTGCTTTGTACTGATGTAGCCACAAATTTGTAACATTCAGAATTGAACCAAAGGGCATAGATATATTTAGTTACACAGTGGCTTAATGTCATTTGAACCACAAATTTTAATGTATTTTATCATAATCAATGGACCAACACAAAAATGTGCACAGTTTTGATGTGGAACGAAGAGGACACAATTTTCATATCTTTTGCTAAAATAAGCTATAGTGTGTACATTTAACTTCGTCATCACAGTGTGAACACATGTGAAAAGATTTGAGAAATTGAATGCATCTGCTATTGCCTGGTTATGGATTTACACACGGTGCCCTGTTATGTCATCTAAACTTATCTTGTTTAACAACTAAAACCAAAACCTAAGGAGTACAGCATATTGGACATTACTTCTTCTGGGTTTCTAGGAAGAATTTTGCAAAGCTGTTGAGACATTCCTGACATAAAATTAAATATCAATATCAAGGTGAGAACATACAGGATAAAAAGGCACATGTTTGATTTTGCATTGTCATCATCTTAAACCTAAAATAATTGAGAAACAGGGAGCAGTAGTTAGCCTGAGCTACATGTGCTTTAATGAGGCCTTTCAACTCGCTCCTGGTATCCATGTGAGCTAGTCAGAAAAGGTGTGATAAATGGATAACATGTTCCTTCACGTGCCAAAAATAATGTGCAACCACTAAGCTACAGGTGAGCTGAATAGTGTTACAAAGTGTTTAACAGCTGGTGCTAACTTATTTAATGAATCATGTTTTTCTACTGCATTCACCAACACCAAGCCTGTTTTTATTTTACCACAGACAGGATCTGAACAATCACCACCTAGATTATCTCAATTACATGTTGGACAGTGTCATTTTTAGTAGCAGAGTGAATCATGCACACACACACAGACACACACACAAGCATGCACAGTGCTGCTGAGTCACGCAGCCACTCTGCGTTTATGTGTCACGAAGCATGCATACGTCCAACTCCGACCAACTCATGACTGCTGGCTTTGTGAGGTGTGTTTCTGTTGCTCACGTCCAACAACCAGCATCACATGGTCTGAAAAAGCAAAACAGGCATCCTTTTTTACCTTCTGTATTACTTGAAATGTCAAAAACAAACTTCTATGCTGCAGCATTTAGACACTATTAAATATTTACTCCAATAAAAAATGGTCCTGCATTCAGAAGTTTTGAACTGCACTCAGCACTTTGACAATATCACCCTTAACTATCCTGCCTCTGTTCTGACTGCTCTCTGTTCTGGGTTATTTTGGTAACTTTTAAAGAACATAATTTGGCCTTGGATAGCCTCAGCATAATGTTCCCACATAACCCCAGTATGGTTAAAAACACTGAGCCTTGTTGTAGTGGTCTCTATCGCCCCCTGCTGGGGAATAGGTGGTTCTTCTATCCTCATTGTTATTCACTCAAGAAAGGGATCCTCATGCAGGAAGCATAAACACTGTGCTTTTCTTCATGCAACTCTTTATAATCTTGGAGTGAGATCTACTGCTGTTTAACTTACCCTCAGACTACTCACTAACCTTCTTCATAAACACAGGACTTGTGTTGTAAATGCATGCATGGCCTGTAAAGTTCCCCCAGATATCGGTGCCCAGTTTACAGTCAAACAGAGCGCATTGCATATTCCCTTTCATCTCACCAGTGCCTTAGAGACAGAGATGGGAGCTGGTTTGAGAAGCATAAGGAGGGGCAGGAGAACGGAGGAGGAGGAGGAAGAGGAGGGAGGAAGAAGGAGAGAGGGAGGGGAAGCAGCCAGGCTGAATCTCTTGGTTTTTGCCCCAGGGGTGTGTGCTGCTGCTGCTGCTGCTACTGCTGCTACTGTTGCTCTCTCTTTGTCTAAAGATTGATTAACAGCAAAAAGGGTCAAAGGGGAGTAAACAAATATTGTGTGCCAAAGACAAAAACACATAGAGTTACCTTAAGTGCTACAATGCTGGTAATGCTTCAGAAGGATGTTGATTGAATTTCAACAACAAAATATCTCAATCATAAATTTGGAAAGGCATATCATGCATAATTGACTTATGTCCTGCTGCAAAATGATTGTAAATTTAAAATCTTATCAACATGAGAAAATAATACAATTATGACAATAAATACATTTTAAGAGCGCTCTACTGCCCTCAAGTGGAAAGGAAATCCCAAATTAACAGACTTGTTTCATCAAAGTGATGTTAAACCATTAGAGACTTATTTGACTCATATTCATGTGCACACCTCAATCCAGAAATATATGTAAGCTATACTAAAAAAAGCAAATAGGCCTTTTTTTCCCCTCATACATTAAATTGCACTAACCTTTTACACTCTCAAGTTTCCAAAATTATTAATATGTATCAAATGCCATAAGTTATATTTTTACATATCTATCACAATAATTTTGGATAAGTGATTCACAGTTTGATTTATTGGTAGTGCACACCTTGATTTTGAAGTGCAGTGGTGGCAGTGTCATGATTTGGGGATGTTTTGCTGCAGGAGAAACTAGTGCACATAACTGATTACACAGCAAGAAAAAATTATGATGTGGAAATATTGAAACAACATTGCAATGCACCAACAAGGAAGATGAAGCTCGCGTGGAAAAGGGTCTTCAAATTGACATTGTCAGTCAACAGATTGCATCCGGTCACTGACTTCCAGCATTCACTCCTCAAGGGGAAAATGTTTTGTCTGACTCAGTGCTGCACTGTGAAAAAGAAAAGGGTTATAAATAGAGCTTGCTATAAAGTATGCGGTGAATTATTCGTATTGGGACATTAACTAATTTGGGACAAAATAAAAGATTTCTCCTCACCTTGAAAATTATAGCAAATCTAAGGACGTTAATAAATTTTCTTGGAAGCAAATCAAAATCATGTCATGCACTCTTGAAGCCAAGGCTGAACTGAGGTTTTACCTGTCCTGACCCAATTTACCTGATTCACCTCTGATTCCACTGGGTACAATGTTTTCTGGTGTGTTAGCTGGTCTGCTGTCGGCAAAATGAGGAAGCAGACTTTCCTCTTGTTCTTATTTCACCCCTCAGAGTAAAGAGCTCCTGGAGTTAAAGGGTGGAGACGAACTTCCGCCTGGCTGCCTGCAGAAACACATGCAGACATTTGTCTTGTACTTTTGGAACTGGGAACCCTTTCTGAAGCAGCTGAAAGTGCCAAATCTGTTACAGGAAAGTTACTAAGAAGAGATTTTATTCCAGGAAAAGATTTTTGTATTTACTTTCTGCACACAGTAGCAATGATTTGTAGACCATGTGGTACAATGACACAGAAGGGTGTCAGCTGATTTGATGTTAGAAAGGGTGGTAAAGACTGATATTAGAATCAAGAAGTTTACATACACAAAGACAATTTAGCTTTCAACACTTGGGATAAATAAAAGGACACATATGGATGTATTTTAATGCAACACCTAAAACACTGATTGTCAGGAAAATCAAATTAAACCTAATAAAACACCAGCAATAGGAGAGTGGACCTCAAGAAGGATTATACAACTGGGTACAATTTTCACAAGCCTGAAGGTGGCACAATCAACTTACAATTATATCCAAGTATAAACAGTGTGAGAATGTCCAGCCGTCGCATCATTCAGGAAGAAGAGTGGTTCTCCAGTATTAAAGGGTTTTGGTGGGAAGTATGCAAATCAAATCCAAAACAAAAAGACGAAAAGAATTAAAAGACCTCATGAATATTCCAACTGAAGATAGTAACAAACTCCTGCACCAAGACATGGTGACGTTATTCCACTCTGGTCCTCTTCACAAAACCTTTCCATCTGTCTTTTGTGGACAATGGGGAAAAAATCTTTTTTGGGATTTTTGCAAATACATTAAAAACAGAAAACCAAGAAAACACGTTTACATATGTATTCACAGTCTTTGCTTAGTAATTTGTTGACCCAACTTTGGCAGCAATTGCCGACACGCAGAGCTATGGCTGTTCACAGTTTAACATTTATATATACATATACCTTTATATGTCGACAGATCAGAAAAAATTCACATATTTATTCAGACAAGCCTGGCTATCTCTACTTTGCAGAAATTTGCAGTCAAGGTTTTATATATTTACAGATTTACAGATCCAATCTAAACAGGTAGAGGCAATAAGGAAGTAAAAGGACTTTGCTCCAAAAACGCCTGCTATCATGTGCAGGTCTTATGGTGCTGCGGAAGTGAAGTGTCTCTACCAGGCTGTCGCGGAGAACAGGCACTACATGACATCTGCAAGGTAACCATTCGTTAAAGATATCCTCTGGAAACATGATAGAGGGCATGACGTTCTTTCTTGAGACTTAGATTATTAATGTGGCAGTATGTTTTCATAAAATGATGTGAAAATAGACTCAAAATGGAAACTGCAGGTCAGAGGCTATGAAAGCAAATTATGACTACAGCAGAAATGTTTTGGTGTTTTGGTGATAAATCATTCATTTTTGTTAGACAAGTGCTTGAATAAAATTGGGGAGACCTGACCTGCTTTGATTCGACTATGGAATGGGAAAGGGATCTAAGGCGCAGCCAGTCTTTGAAGAGTCTCCCCTCGCAGTCTGACAAGGCGATCTGGACAGATGCAGGACTGCAGGACAGGACGATATCTGTGTCCCAGTTAGTGGCCAGGTATGAAAAATATCCATTCTTTTCTGTCTCTGTGATAACTAAACATGCAATGACGTGTTAAAACAAAGGCTTTTAAATTTGATAACGGTGTAGGTATCAAACTGCAGTGAAAAAAAGCACATCAAGTCAACCTGCACCAGAGAATAATGCTGAAGGAAATATAAAGAAACAATTAACGGAGGTAAACCTGCTTATTAGAGATTCTGCACAAAGAAAAATAATAACTTTATTCATGTCCTAACTTCTGCTTTTTGTAAATATCTTTTTCAGATGACTCCATCTCCCCTGCACAGCAGGGAGACTCATCTGGAGTCCCTTCTGAAGAGAAATGAAGAGCGGGAGAGGGCTCGGGCCACAACCACCCTGACCCGCAGTAAATCAGAGGGTACCCTCCAAAACAGCACTGGGTCCATAGACGCCTTGAAGGCTCTTTTTGAGTCGAAGGCAACGGGAAAGCTGAAACCAAAGAGCAGTTTTAAAACTGGAAACGTAGCATTAGGTTACGTTGTGGATGAGCCAGTGATGAATGGAGAGACTGAGCATGTGCAGAGTGCTACAGAGGAGCAGAGAAAACCTGCTGAAAAGACAACTAAAAAGGAGCCAAAAGATGATTTTCTGACTCAAAAGGTAATTACATAACCCAACTATTTTTTTGGTTGTTATTACTTTTAACTACCATATGAAATTCAGCTAAATTAGGTTAATTCCACATTCATCGAACATCGTCTTAAAACAAGCATCAAAATGTAAGCTGTTTGTTGAAGCATTTGTGGACTGAAAAGATTTGAACTAACATTAAGCTTTGAAAATAAAAACAAAGACAGCTTGTAGTCACTGCTACATGCATAGATGCATAAAAGCTTTTCAGAAAGTGCTCTACTTTCTGCAGTGGGTGGAACTATTTCTTTAGATTTAAAAAAAAATAACAACACATCCAGTTTATCAGCAGCACTTTGGTTTTGACACCTCCACAGTTGCACCAGACAGACTGTAAGGCCACTTATTAGCAGTGATGCTTTCTTTATTCTTTCTCCAGGTGGTGAATCAGACCCAGACAGAGAGAAACAAAACAATAGCGGGCATTGATTTTGAAAAGCTTGCATCATCTGAAGCTGGTGAGTCTCTCATAACATCTTTTCATTAGGATTTATCAACGTTTTCACCAGTTCAGTAAATCCAAAAATCAGTAAATGTTCCAAGTGTTTTACCCATGAAGGTGCAGCTAAGGCCAAACTTCTACCTCTTCACTAATCAGGGCTAAGATAAAGGAATGAAAGACTGGCTGACAACAAGAAACAAAACTCAGCAATAGCCTATATATGACTGCAATTAAACCATGGAACAAGCAAATGCATAATTTAGGCACTCAGGTCAAAATCCAGCTGATAAGAAAGAACTCGGTTTTCACATTGTTTGCTCATTCGTCGTAGGCGTGCTCCACATCCATTTAAACCAAAATGCACCGACACTGAAGTAATCCAATTCGACTTAAAATAAAAGAAACTTCTGTGAAGCTTTAAGCATCTATGTGGATGTGAGATATCCACACGGTGACTATGCAAAAGCTGTGATTGACTAAACCTTGTGTGGAAAACACGGGGTCACTTCAGAGGGGGACAGAAATAGCTGCCAAGCAATGAAGTCCTGAATAAGTATAGGAGGGTGAAACGGTCAGCTGTCTCCAGGACAGATGACCCAGAACGAAGGAGCGACACAGCGAGGCAGACACTTTCTTTCAAAACGCAAATCAAAAATATATCTAAAACATTTTATTCAGATAACTAGAAAAACTCAGAAGATAGGATCTAAGGAATCAGAACTTCTTCATATTCTGTGAGTATGAAGCATTATTATTGCTGAATAGATCTCCATGCATTCCTAAGTCTTTTAATTATCACCTTTGGTTTTATTTGTTAGGCCACTTAAGTCTGACTCATATATTTGACTTCTGAAGGCAAATGATTGGTCTGGGTTTTTAGAGGAAAAACAGAGTAGAGAAGACAGCTTCATTTTTTATTTTCCTAAAAGATTTCAAGATCATGCGTCATTTCCTTGCATGACATTTATGAGTTAATTTATGCCGGCTTGCCGGCTAAGTCCTCAATATAACCTACATGATTCAACAGGATAAAATGTGAAAAAGTACCGCAAAAATCTGCTCTGAAACTCAACCTGTAATGATTATATAGAAAACATAGCCAGTTTTAAATGGAATCTTTTGAAACATTTTTACCAGCAGCCTCACGGAGAGACAATTTTTTTCTCACATTTGCTGAAATGATTGGGGCTTGGGAGTATTACCTATTTTCCAGTAACATGGTGTCATTTTATATCACAATCAAATAACTACGTTGCCTTCGGTTGTTATAAAAATGCTATATGTACCAAAAAGAACTTTGATTTTGCATCTGATGGCTTGGAAATCGCCTCTGTGCCTTTAACAACATCCGAGCCCGAGAGTGACAATCCCCCCTGCAGCAAAAAAAAAAATAATTTAATTATCTCTCCAAAGATAATTAAATAATGTGAAGCAGTTCCATTTTTATCAGATTTTTTTTTTCATGAACATGTTAAAATAGTTATATATGTGTCTCAATTGCCAATAGAAAAAAAAATAGCATTGCACAGAAATAGTTTAATTTGTGTGTCATATGTTTTCACTGGAAATGTATCTTTGGCAACCAGCTCCAAATCTTTGAGGTTGGAAAGCCTGGAAGGCCTCATTGCTATCACCCTAACAAAGTGAATTCACTATTAGACTGCACTCCCTGTTTAGCTTTTGCTGTGGGGATTCACTCGTGCTTTAACCGTCAGCATGTGTATCAGTGGAGTCAGGTATCTTTCCTGCTCCACCACAAGTACACATTTATAACTCAGCCACATGACAACTGGTAAATATCAGCTCGGAAGAACTCTGAGCAGGACCCAAAATTAGTACCTGATAACAAACACAGTGGTGATGTGACTATTAACACAAGACAATTAAGCATTATGTTAGGGGATGATTCACTGTTTAAAACCCTCCTCACTCAATTGCATCGCTTTTTTTTCCCTCATGCAAAGTACAATGTGTGTGAAAATTGCAAGCTTTCACGTCTAATGTCTCTGCAGATGAAAAGAGGAGGTCAGCTGCTGACTTCAGAGACAGCTCTGGCATCCAAACCAAAGAGATACTGTCTGTCTCGGTCAAAGCTATGTCTGCTCTCTATATGTCAAAAGTGGCAAATAAGGAATCAGCAAACAAGCCTTCTAAAGTGGAAAAGGTTAGTCTGCTGATTATCTGTTTCTTTTCATCCAGGTCAGACTAGTTTTAGTCATAGACCTGAATCAACATCAACCTCTCTGTTTAATTAAGATAGGGTCTTATATCATTCATTTGTTTTGAATATCTTCCCTAAAGACATTATTTACTTATAAATAAACATGTAAACATAAAGACTGAAAGCTTTGGATGGTATGTTAAAGGTGAAGAAACACAAAACACTACATTTCACTTCATATTTGTGTAAACTGTCATTATGAAAGACATAATGAATAACAAAAAAAAAGTAAATAATAATTTGACTACCCTAGTGAAGATATGTAAAAATCCTTAGTGAAGAAATTGTTACAACTGGGTCTAATGTGACAGTGAACATATACCAAGGATAATGATTGGAAGCGCTTTGCCACCATCTGTCAGGACACTTTTTGAAAAATGTTATGAGTGAGTTTGTTCTGTAGGGATGAATCTGAACTATTTCTATAAAAGAAATATCATGGAAGCCCTTATAATTTGCAGTTGATACTATTATTTTTAAGTTGTCGAGTGTCTGGCAAGTAATCATGACCGGCTGTTTTCTTGGGGCACAATGGTCACAAAGTAACATCTGGCAGTGGAATCATTTTGTTTATTACATACATGTTGTTTCCTTTCAGGATCAAGCTCAACCACGAGCTTCGGGAAAGTGGACCAAGCTAACTAAGGTAAAGCTTCCCAACGTCAGATGTTTGAAAATTGCACGGTTGCTTGTGAATGAATAAAAATAATCTTGAAGGTCAGTTTCTCTGCATGTGTTCATTGACCATGCATAACATTGAGATAAGTGAGATTTGGGATAGAAACCTGTCCATCATCCAATCCAACAAGCACTAATGCATATCGAAAGGTCTCTAAATACACACTGAATCATAGTGTCTGGAGTGTGGGGCTGCATAGCTGCAGAACAGTCAGCTAAGCAGCCAAGCATTGAAGCACCACCAAGAACAGGATCATGGAGTAATGAAAGACGATGGCATGGGCTCATCAATAATGCCACTAATCTGGATGTTAATTTTGATTTATCACCAACCGAAGTATGAGTGCAGTGCATATACACCCTTTCATGTACACAATATCCTATGATGGCTAAAGCTGCTTTCATCAAGATCCTGCCACAAAGCAAAAATTATTGAGGAGCACAAAGATGTAGTTTGGTTGGAGACTTGTCTTCCAAATTCTCCAGATCTCAATCCAGTTGGCATGTGTGATGTGCAAGTTCAAAACATGGAGGTCCATCTTATAATTCATAGGACTTAAAAGATCTGCAGCTAACATGCCATAATGTTATGTAAATATGTGCTGACACATTTCATTCCTTCTGCTGCTTCATTTGTTGTTGCAATGCAAGTTTTTTTCCCCCTATTGGACTTTTCCCAATCCGTTGACATCCGGCTTCTTGAATGGTATGCATTCATGCCTGAATCTGGTGATAATACGCATCTCCCTTTTATGCGATATATTTGTTTTGACCCTAACCTGACCTCTGGAGCATGGCTTTCATTTAATCATAATATTTATTAAAAAAGATGGATTTTGTAAGACCCGTACTTTATTCTTCTAAGATGGATGAAGACTCTGAACAAAGAATAGATGACTATCCACCACAGCCCCCAGAAGAGCCTGAAGAGGAACTTGAAGACAGCGCTGACGGACATTGCGAACAGTTGATGTCTTCCCAACTTTACAGGGAAAAGTTATTCCAACAACGACAGAAAAATGAGCTGAGACGGCTCCTGAAGCATACCTGCCCGGAGATAAAGATGCTGGACGACGTTGTGAATGAGGAGTTTGCTGAAGTGTTGAGCTCTAAATCAGAGTCTAGTGGGGAAACCGGATATGAGGGAGAGGTTCTTTCAAGATGCTTGATATTTGAAAACCGTGGCAGCAGCTGCAGCACCCCAAAGATCTGTGTCGAAGAGCGACACAGATCGGAAAGACAGGATTATCGGAAAATAGCAACGGTTTTGGAAGAGCTAAAAGATGAACCTTACACTAAGAGTTGTGAAGGAATGATGATAAGTGATAAATCTCCTGACTTAGCATCAAATTATAATAAAGAAGTAGAGGAACAGGTGGCAAAAATAGATGTTAAAGCTACTAGAAAGGTATTTGAGAATAAGTGTTCAAGCAACGTAAAGCCAGATGAGATTCAGGGGAATGTTGCAATGGTTTTGAACAAACCACCTGAAATATCTTCTGTTGACAGCATACAAGGTGATAACAAAAGTGGGGATAAGAATTTAGAAGAACAAAAGCCGTGTACAGAAAATTACATTTCTTGCAGAGAAGTATTTCCCTGCAATGATCTCCCACTTGAGGGGAGTTTCGTAAGTTTTACTGAATCAGAAAGAAAAAGAGAAATAATAAAAACAAATGCAGCACTCGTCCAAAATAACCCCTTTATTTCCTCTAACATTGAAAGAGAGGATTTTTTAAGCCATACATCAAAAACTCAAAATCAAAGCATTGCAGCAAGTGAAGACTATCCGATTGCCAATGTAAAGAACAGAAAACATCTGTTTGATTCGATGCCATTTGATAAAATTAGACATCAGAATCAGGATGAAATTGAGATGCTGGTGGAAAATATCAAAGAAACGTTAAATTTTCTCCACCAGGTGAAAGCCATTCACTCAGATGGGGCAATTATTGAGGTTAACGAGACAATGATTGCTAAAAAGGCACAGTTCATAATATCAGACAGGGGACCTGAGATAAAATACGATAAGGTGGCTGAAGGTGGTGCACAAAATTTCATAGTTCAGCTGCTACCGCGGGTAAACCTAAAACGTCAGATAATTTACCTTAAGGAAGTTAATAAAGGGTTTATAGAGGCCACAGTGGTGGATGCACTGGCTCACCAGCATAGATTCAGTGCAAACAAAGACCCTGAGTTAAAGACTGCCAATGTAGTTCAGTTGGTTGAGGATATCCTCAATCAGGACAACTCCCTGAGAAAAGGGGTGATCATTCAAGAAGATGACAGAAAGGTCATTGTTTATTCCCTCTACAAGTACTTTGATGAAGAAGACGTGAAGAGCTACAGCCCTCCAAACAGTGCAGATCACGATGAACCTGAGGCAGAAACAGTGTCAGTTCCACAGAGCAGTCAAGACCAATCCAGGCCAGGGTTAATTAGGGCCAATGTCAAACTGTTCAAAAGTTGCATTGAAAAGGGTGACTTGGAATATCTAAGATCACTTCAGGATGATGAACAAACCATTCCCAGTACTGAGCATAGTGAAAGTGAAGTAGATGTCAGAGTGGATGATGAATCTCATCATCTCCATATGAGCAATCCAACTGAAGAGTGTATCCAAGTTGATGTAAAAAGACTAAAAAGCATGTTCTCTGAAGGAACAAGTTGTAGTCATAGTAAATGTGTCAAATATTCTGCAGTGTCATCTGGAAAAAGTCAATCTCCTATAGAAAGCAATACGGGGGCATTCGTATTTCCACAGTCCAACAATAGTTTTCATGCTTGCTTCGGTGAAGGGCTTAAAGAAGTTCTGGCAAATTCAGAATCAGAATCAGCTGAAGAAATCTCAAGCACAAAAGTGGAATCATGTTTAGAAAAAAGTCATAAATCTCCATTAGTTGAAGGAATTTTCTCAGCACCTGAATCAGACTTGTTACCCAAAAACACAGAAACAGTCAGTGAAGAGGCCAAATCTAAGAAAGGGCACACGTCTGAGACATGCAACAAAATCAATGAAGGATTTAGAGAATTAGCTAAAAATGAAAACATTAAAATTTCTATGGTTCCTGAACAAATTTCAGAAGCAACATTTGAACAACAAGAAGAAGTCTGTTGTCAGGGCACAATACAAGCAGCGTTGGATTCCTTGGAGAAGTCTAATATCAATGTGACAAGAGGAGACATTAGGGCAGCTATGATATACAGACAGTCCAATAAATCTTATCAGAGAAACTCACAAAGTAATATTCAAAAGCACAGTACTACAGACTTTAGCTTTTTGGCTGAGCCTAAATCAATTCAAGAACATCAAAAGCCAGAAACACCCAACCAAGAAGTAACAGTGGCAAAGGTGGAGCCTCCACACCCAACAACAGCAAATACTGAGCTTCTGCACCCAACTGAAGTCCCACTACACCTACACGTGACTGCATCAAACGCAGAGCCTTCTCACCCCTCTGAATTACAACTAAACCTAAAAGTGACTTTGTTCGATGCAGAACCTCCACACCCAACTAAAGAACCACTAAACGCAGACGTGAATGTAAAGAATGCAAAGCCTTCACTCCTGGCTAAAGAACCATTAAACCTAGAATCAACTGTTGATGTAATGAATGTAGAGTCTCAACACCCAGCTAAAGAACCACTGAAGCAAAACGTAATTGTGACAAATTCGGAGCCTATCCACCCACCTGAAGGACTAATGGACATACAAGTGACTGTGTCTAATGCAGAGCCCCCATACCAAACTGCAGAACCACCCAAACAAGAAGTAACTATGGCAAATGTGGAGAATTCAAACCCAACTAAAGAACTACTAAACCTAGAAGTCACTGCAGTGAATGCAGAGCATCCACACCCATCTAAAGAACCACTAAACCACAAAATGACTGTGGCAAATGTGCAGCCTCCCCACCCAACTGAAGATCCAGTAACACAAGAAGTAACTGTAGTTAATGTGGAACCTTCTCACCCAACTGAAGAACTAATGAACACACAAGTGACTGTGTCAAATGCAGAGCCTCCATGTCCAACTGAAACGCTGCTCAACCAGGAAGCCACTGTTGCAAATGTGGAGCCTTCATGCACACTTAAAGAACCACTAAACCTGGAAGTGACTGTGCCAGATGCAGAGCTTTCACACCCACCTGAAGAGTCACTCAACCAAGAAGTAACCGTGGCATATGTAGAGCCGTCACACGCACTTAAAGAACCCCTAAACCCAGAAGTGGCTGTGCCAGATGCAGAGCCTCCACACCCACATGAAGAGCCGCTCAACCATGAAGCAGCTACGGCAAATCCGAAGCCTCTACATCCAACTGAAGATCCAATAAAGCTGCAAGTGAATGTGGCAAATGCAGAGCCCCCACTTCCAATCAAACCCCAGAACAGGCCTTCACAAAGTGTTGTATCAACAAAAAGCAAAAGAGTCACTGGCCCCAAACCACCAATTCCACCTAAACCTGAACATTTGAAAGAAAAACAAGAAGTATTTCAGCCATCTACCAGTAGGAACCCAGAGGAACACAAAATTAGTACTATGGGAAGTGAAGAAATGTTCTGTCAGGTTTCCCAGCCATCAGCAACAACATTGTTTTTAGGTCAAGAAGGCACTACCAATCACAAAAACTATAATTTAGATAAATCTACGAAGACGTTGCAACAAATAAGCGGGAAGTCTGACATACAATGTTTGCCCATGCTCTTAGACAGTAATGAAACAGATATAAGAAAAATAAATGGACAACAAAAGACTGAAACCAAAGAAAAGAAAGATACATCTCAAAGCACATTTGTGCATGACATAATATCTGAAACGGATGAAACCCATATAAATTTCCATGAGGCCCAGCAAAAATTCGGCGGCAAAGTTGTGTCATCAAAAAAGACGGCCCCCGTAAAGCCAAAACGAGTAAAACATTTTCAGGCCAGTGACAAAACCCAAAAGCCCTTAACTGGAGAATGCACTACAGATTGTACTGTTCACATTGGAGCTGATCCATCATCCAAGAACTGTGAAATAACTGCTGACAGTGCAGATAGGCATTACAAGGAAACAAAGCAAGATGTCAAAGTTGAGATGAGGGAAAAGAAAGCAAGAGTGGAAACAGATGATGAATGCAGACAACGACTGTCCATACACATGGATGAGATTGTGAGAGGAAACGTAACTGCGGCAATGGAAATCTTTGAACACCTGAGAAAGCAAGAGCAACTGCAAAGCATTCTGAGTCGTGTAGAAGAAATTGAAAGCGACACGAGTGAGGTTGATGTGACGTCACTGAGGAGAGTGTTTGAGAACGTCCCTGACTGGATTGTCAATACAGACAAAACAGGGCGACGGAAGGTCAAAGCAGAAAATAAAGACAAAATGATGCAGTCATCAGCAGGCAAAAAACATTGCAAGTCCTCAATGGAGCATGTTTATGGAGATCTTGAGCGTGCTAGTGCGGAAATAATAAATCTAAAAGAGCAGACTTTAGCTAAACTTAAGGATATAGAGGACACCATTAAGAAAGCACTTCTTTCTGTTTCTTCACTAAAATCTGACTCAGATATTGCAAATTTATCAAATCTGCTCAAAGAATCCCTGGGGGTTGTGCAAGAATCTCCACGTTCTAGCAATATAAGCAAAACTGATTTAAGCAGAACCAAACCACAGCAATCAGAAGAAAGTTATTTTTCACAAAGAAGCAGCTCTACAGGCACTGCAGCAGCTCCTAGCGCAGATCAGTTTTCTATAAAGCAACAGGAAAGCCCTCCATCTTCACCTGCATCCATTTCTATTCAGTCAGCAGCAAGAAAAACAGATAAAACAGACGTTGTGCCACCAGAAACTTTAATCTGTATGAAGTGTCAGTTGAACCCGAGGCCAGAAGGAAAATTCAGAACCACAAAGACAGTGATGTGCAATAGCCCCACTCAAAGTAAAAAAGTAAAACCCAAGAAAGGAGAACGACAGCAAACGTCTAACAGCCAACAGAACCGAGAGCTTAGTGTGCTCAGGGTACAAACTGACAGCAAAGGGAACAGCATCAGAGGGACAGCAGAGGACAACTATGAGAGGACAGATAACTCTGATAACAGGCCGTAGACATCCAAAACCTCTGCTCTTGTTGCTACTCAACCAGAAAGCAAAACAACTCAGGCTGTAATCCAGAGATTCAGCAGCTAGTAAATCAAGTTAATGATTTGGTTATCTGGACAGACAAGTGTTTGTCTTCCATGATCTTACAAAAATGTTCATTATCTACTAAGTACTTATTTGAGTGCTAAATAGATTGATCATTCACAAGTTTATTGCTGAAGGTATTTCTTAGGTTTTTAATTGTTGCTACTTCAATATTATTTCAATTTCTTTTTGATCTACTTTGCATTGAATTTGATAACTTTTTACATTTCTATAGGCAACTTTCTAATAAATTCTTTTTGTGTAAATCCTTCTTGAGCTTGAAGTAAACCTAGTCTCATTTTTCTTATCAGTTTCAACCAACTTCTCGAGAGATGTGCTCAGCCTGTCAGAAGCCAGTTTATCAGATGGAAAAAGTCACGGCAGACAAATACATTTTTCACAAAACGTGCTTCTGCTGCAAACAGTGCAAGAAAAAACTAAGGTGGGATATCAAAATATGTTTCAAAAGGATCTCATTCACTTTTAATAAGGTCTTCTTCCTCTTTTGATTCCATGTTTCACCAGCATTAACTGCAGGTAGGCCAACTGTAGTTCATAACCTTGGCAGTTTAAGTTTGATTCAATCTTAGTCAACATTTTTCTTCTAACCGGAAATAGTTTTAAGTTTATGGTGTGACCAAAGTCCCAACTCTGACAGAGAATCTATGAAGGGATTTGGGTGATGGCAAGGAGATAAATCATCAGTCAAAAAACTGGTCAGCACATATTACAAGCATTTGATTGGAGGAATGATATTAACAGTTTTCCAGCGAGTACGGTACAATAATTCTTTGACATGCTGTATTCTTTATTAAATATTTACCAAAAAAAAAATCTCAATCAACACTTTTTTACAGAAACAGTAAACCTAAATCTGCCAGGGGCGTGACATTTATTTCTTCTGAATTGTACACAGATTTAGCAATACAATGATAAGTGGGAAACTGATTTAAATAGTATCCAAAAGCAACATATACTTTATACCATGGCAACAAATGTTGTTAGCTTTAGCATTGTGTAGAAAAAAGGCAAAACAACACAGATATGCCTAAATCCTATGCTGTAGTTCACATTTAGGCCACAAAGAGCTAATATTGTCACAATCTTACAGTAAAAAAGAAAAGGAGTCGGGTAGATTGTACACAACACAAAGAGTATAATTCAGTAAGTGCTAAAAACTACTTAACTACCATCATTTTATTTATGGTAGTTATGGTAGCTTTATTTATGGTTGCTGCTGTGTGATTGAAGTTTACAAAACACTCATGGAAACTGCTTTAGAAATAGAAATATTTTGGATTTTGCATGATATTAAAACAGACCAGGCAAACTCCATGTTTGCATTTAGCAAATACACTGTAAGCAGATCCATTCAAATGAGCAGCATTACAGCATTACATATAGACTAATAATAATAATAATAATGCTAAATGCTGAAAGTAACAGTTGTAGGTTTAAAAAACATGTAGCTGGCAAAAAGTAATATATAAAATATACAGAAAACAATTTTTCAAAAATCCATTAAAGGTAAAAGGTAATTTTATTTATATAGCGCATTTTCAGCAACAAGACAATACAAACCAATTACTGCTTGTAACTACCAGCTACTTCGTTGGTTGTATCTATTACAGGCTATGTAAAGCAATCTTCACCATATGTTATACTGCAAAGTTTCAAATGTGGAAACCCTGCCCTCATTAATGCTTTCTCTTCCGGTTAAAGTTTTTAACAACTAAGTAGCATGGGGAATTAGATTTTCTACTAACTTGTACTTCTTTTTAGCATGCAAACTTACACACCTTTGAATGGTGAATTCTACTGCATATTTCACTACCAACAACTGTTCAAACGAAAGGGAAATTATGATGAGGGCTTTGGACACACTCAGCACAAGAACCGATGGCTGTTCAAGAATTCATCCAGCACAGTGGATGATGAATCCGAGGCATAACTCTGCAATGTGAAAGTGAGTGACAACAAAAGGCAAAAAAAATAAAAATAAATGGTCTTGATTGCTTGTGTTAGTAAATTCAGTTATTTGTGTTGTTAATCACTGTAATCATCTTTGTAACCTTGCTCTCTTTGTGTTCTCAGCTGATGAGTGACGATGACAGCACGGAAAATCCTAATTAAGATGTTTGAGGCAGCTTGTTCAACGAAGTGCAACAGAATTGCACAGGCATATAAACTGCATGATAATTAATGTTAGACAACATATCATAAAATCTGCTAATTATTTTTTAAATGTCTTGCATTGTATTGAGACACATGTAAATGTAATCTGTTATTTGTTTCAGATTCAGCTTCCTTTTGCTTTTCTTAGTTTAAAATTACAGCAACAGATTACAGTAAGGAAGAGCACAATAGAGAAAACAATCACTGCTTGTAATTACCAGATAATTAACAACATAAAAATATCAGGCAAACTTATGAAGATTTCCAAAGTGACATTGTGCTTTTTGCATATTTAATTTCATTCCACTAATTTCTGAAGAATGCTCATAAATAAATAAACATGTTTTGTAATTATTTTGTACCACTGTAAATCATGATTAACTTTGTGCAGAGAGAAAAAATTAACCACATAAAATCTAATTTTAATTTTCTTGTGTTTCAGTTCAAAGAGACTTTCATGAACTGTTGCCTCAATGTTTTAGTGCCTCTGTATTGTGCAGTTCTGGGTCTGTTACTTTGCTCTCAGTACCTTCAGGTTTATTGTTCTCTCTATCTGAAAATGTGGATCAGCTGATATTTTACAACTTTTTACAAGCTTTCACTTGGTCCAGCCAAGCAGTCTACTGTAGTTTGGTGTGTAATAGAGGTCTGTGAATTCACAGATCTGTAACCTTAAAAAAAAAGCATATCTTGACTTTTTGTCCAGATGTTGAAAACGGTTACATAATCTTCAATATGGACATAAAAAAAACTTGTATTGAGATATATCAAGGTACTATTAATATTGTGTCCAAGTGTTTGTCATCACAGTGAAATCTCTCCCACAAAGGGTTACTCATTTACTGTCAGTACAAGACTTCACCCCTTCAACTAAGTGCAAGCTAATACTAAAATACTCTTATTTTGAAGTAAGAAAGGAAGTTGCTACTGTAATCAAACCAAGGATGTCATTTACCCAGAATGCATTGCAGTGTAAACAACATGGCAACTCTGTGTGTCAATATTTTATTAAGATTTATACAAATTAAACAGACTACAGTATTAATACTGTGCTGTTTTTTTTTACATATAAAATAAATATTTCCCCAAGAAAGTCTATTGTAACTAATTGTGGATGCCTTTAGAAGAAAAATTATTCTGCATGTTTATATGGAATAATGTGTAAATGATGAAATTTACACATTTATACACACTGAGTACTAACTGTAGTACTAAATGGGATTGACAGCAAAAAGAGCCTCACCATACTCAGCAGCAAAGAGAGTGCTTCTTCAAGATAAAGGGATTCCCGCACATGAATAAAAGCAAAGTTAAAGCTGTTCAAGACACAAATGAAAGATGGTTATTATTATTATTATTATTTTTACATTTTATTTTGTGCATTCTCCTGTAAGGCTGTTCTGGGCAGTTGTCCACATAATCCATATCAAAATTACCCTTACTCAGATTATGACAATATGAAGATGGTGATTTCAAATTAAACAATAAAATTAGATCAAAACAGATTTAAAGACAAACACTAAATAGGAACAAAGAATTAACAGATTAGGATGAAGCGCAAGTCCAGAACTCCTACAATTAGCAATGACATTTTAATTTTCTAAGATTTGCTCAGTATCTTTGTTCATAGTGTTGGACTGGATTGTCTACAGTAGAGAATATGAAACCCAGAGAAGAGCATTATATATTAGAGCCCACATGTCTGTACTCAAACAGTTGCTAATTTTATAGCGCTCATTCAAGCTTAAAAGTATAACTGCTGCCCTGATGTAAAGTTTTTTGCCACAATGTTAAGTTTAGATTTACATGGATGGAATGAAGAATATTTTCAGTTTTTTTTCTTTAGAGACTGTTATTACCAACCGGTGTGCTGTTAATCAGAGGAGAAACCCTGACAGCTCATATCTGACAATGTTGCTTCCTGGTCTGTTAGTAATTTGACAGGTCATAAAAGCACTGATTGCTTGTTTAAACATTAACTTAAAGGATGAGACTCCTTCTCTTCTACAGTATTAATACTGTGCTGCTCTTTGGTTTCAAGAGTTTTGGTTTCTCTTGAAACCAAAACTGTCCCTTGTCTTCATTACTTGCTGAGGACTTTAGGACATCATTATGAGCAACTTTGGGCAAATCTTGAAGGAGATCGGGGAATTTGGCTTCTTTCAGAAACGTCTGGTGGCTGCATTATGCATCCCCAGCATATTTCTGGCGTTCGATGTGATCGGCCAGGTGTTTACAGGTATGAACTTCCCACACCAGTGCAACACCAACTGGATCTTGGAGCAGGGACCCAACCTGACTGATGAAAGACAAAGAAACCTCACCATACCCACTAACAGTGAGGGAAAGTTTGACAGCTGCAAAATGTTCACACCTGTAAGTTTGGACCTGGAAACCATTGAAAGGTACGGACTTAACGAAACAACGAGATGCATAAATGGATCAGATTTTGAAATGCCCAACCATGCCTCCAGCATTGTGACAGAGGTAAGAAAATCTTGAGCGGCTCTGCATAGAGTTAACTTTTGTTAGTCTGCAATATACCACATAATTGTCACTGAATGATTGACTGACGCTAAATAAGTGTTGACCTTGGAACACTGATCTGCTGAAAGTGCAAAATCATGACATAAAGTACTTTAAAGTTAGTTGACTTTTTTTTAAATCTGCCTCAATAGTAAAACAGAACATACAGAACAAATGGCTAAAAATATAATAACACATTGATTACTACAATTTTTACAGACTGGTGAGTGCTAGATCTATAAATGACACTTTCAAAAACAACAATACACAATTGAAGATACTTAAAGGCATAAAATATATATAATTAATTAATTAAGAAAATGATAGAATACATGTAAAAACTTTTGAACAGATTCGAGAGTCAAAAAGACGTTAAACACTAAAGGGAAGCTCAGAGTCTAGAGACTGGAGATTCCATCCATCTCATTCATTTAAGCTCTAGACACTTGAGATTAATGGGATAAAAGGGGAAAAAACACATGATATGAGGTGTGCTTAAAGACATCAAAGAGACATGCAGCAACATGATGAAAACAGTGGACATAGCATCATAAGATTGAATAAAAGAAAAGTAAATAATGTTAAACAAAATGTTTTACAACCTGTCATAATGGAGGAGGCAGGCTTCAGACAATATGTTCAGGTTATATTTTGTCACCCATTGTCTATGTCCACCTAGCCAATCAGGGCAGTAGAGGTCAGGGCTGATGCTACCAACTTTTAATTACGGAATATTTAAAATGCAAAGTGTTTACTTTTCTGCTCACAGTTGTTTCATATTCTTAATAATATTTTGTGATTAGTATTTTCATTTACAGCCTCTTAATGTGTTGTCGTTCAGAATTGCCTGGTATTTAGCTTTCTTGTCCCCGGCGGAGAAATAAAAGTCCTCACAGTATGATTCTGCCAACACCATGTTTGATTCCAGGGATTTAGTTTTGGTTTTCCTCCACACATAGCTTTTTACATGAAGGCTGAAAAGTTTAGTTTTTATTTCTTCTGATCAGGAAAACTTCTTTCACTTTTCTTATTGTTTCAAGATGTAAAATATTTTTTGAAAAGTGTCGTGTAACCATATTTATAACAAATTAATACATCCAGAAAGTAGGATGTATCAAAGTAGCTGAAGCAAAAGAATAAAAGGCTTAGAGAAATTAAGTATAACTCGATTTTTCTTGTTGTCTCTTCAATGTTGTCAGTTTAACCTTGTGTGCGACAGAAGCAGTTTCATTGAGGCATCTCAGTCTATTTACATGGCCGGTCTTCTGGTTGGAGCCTTTGTTCTGGGACAGATGGCTGACAGGTGATGACCATTTGTGTCCAACCATTAGCTAGGAAACCGTTAACTAACAAATGAACATTTAGGGACTCGTGTAACATTCCAGTCTTTCTTTCTGCAGGTTCGGCCGACGTTTTGTGGTCCTGCTGTCGCTCCTCATCTTATTTGTGTTTGGAGTAGGACTGAGTTTCTCACCCAACATCTACGTTTACATTGCTCTCAAATTTGTTTGTGGCATTTCAACATCTGGAATTGTTGCAAATGCCTTTGTCATTGGTAGGTTTCACAGCTGAATTTAATGGCAACTTTATTTCGAATGTATGAACTATAACAATCAATATTATAATTTTCAGACTACTGAGCAAACCTAAATGCAAGCCTCACCAACTAACGTTAGGAGGCAAAAAAGTGCACTTATATAGGCTACATATGTCTAAGCTGCAGATGTCAATGAGATATTTCCAAAGAAAGATTTTTTTTTTACATACCCTTCATGCTTTTTCTATAACGGTACATATAACACAGCTGCTTAAAAAAAAAAAAGAAACTTCAGGAGCTGACCAGAAAAAGCCACTGATCACATCTTCCTCCTGCACACTGACACTACCGAAGTAGTCTTCTTCAGTATCAGAATTGAACAGCCTCACACACACTCCCTCAGTCTCTCTTGCTTTGTTGCTCTCAATGTCACTTTGTTACTCTCTTAAGCTTGTGCTGTCCTCTTCATCAGGCAGCAGTCCAACCTTTTGAAAACCTGGAAAAAAGCCTTATATTAGTCACATCACAGTGTTCAAAGCGTGTGAAAAAGCAGCAGCTTGTAGTCTGAAAATTACGGCACATAGATAATTGATTTCACACTTGTTATGTTCCTTTAAAGGCGGAGAATGGAGTGATTCTTCAAAGTTTGCTCTCTGTACCATCATCTGCCATGCATTTTTTCCTCTGGGACTGATGATACTTTCTGGAGTTGCTTTTTTCATCCGCAACTGGAGGATCCTGCAGATGGTGCTCTTCAGCCCTCTTATTTTAGTACTGCTAATCTTCTACTGGTTAGTATTGGTATAACTGCCATATGTATGATTTTCACAGTATTAACTTGAGTAAAAAATAAAGGGATTTTATGACATCATAAAATCCCATAAAATAATTTAAAACAACTTGACCAAATTATTTAATTTGAAACAGCTTCTCGACTTCAACTTTAAAACGGTGCTACCAGTAAAACTGAACTTCTTTAGTTTCCACACCATGTTTGTCTTTTACATAAGGCAGGCAGAGGAGATGGAGGCAGGCAAATTTCTTTCCTCAAGAGAATGAAACAACCAAAAAAAGAGAGAAAGAAATGGATACAATTCTTGTTTCTTAGCAGTTGGTTCGAAGTGCATCATCACTTCAATCCTTTCCCAGTTATAAACCATGGCATACTTAGTATCAATAGATTCCCTGTGATCTCAATATTGTGAGGATATCACTGCAACCTTAAAACTGAAAACTACCATGCCTGTGAACAATATATTTCAAAACCACAAACAAATTTTTTGTGACTAATAGAAATATGTTGTGGCTTTCAACATGTCATGCAGCTGAAAACAAAAAAAATAACAAAAACAAACAGCACAGTTTGTGATCCAGACTTATTTGTCAAGCAGGATTCTTCCAGAGTCAGCTCGCTGGCTCATTACACAGGGCAGGAAGGAGGAGGCCGTAACGGAAGTACGGAGAGCCGCTAAAGTGAACAAGAGGAAAGTGCCAGAGGAGCTGCTAGAGAAAGTGAGTCCCACCAAAACACACTGACCTCTACCAAAAACCAAACACGAGCTCATTAATCACACCCACAATTTTTCAGCTGGATGGCATGGGTGCGAACAAAAAGGGAACCATGCTGGACATCTTCAGGTTATCAGATTTGAGAAAACGGGCTCTCATAATGAGCACCGTCTGGTAAGTATCCAGTTGGCACTTCAGTAGCTTTAACTTTATGGGGGTCACTTAATGTCTTTGTCATGACTTTACAGGTTTGCGACAAGTCTGATGTACTATGGGCTAAGTCTCAATGTTGGCAACTTTGGTCTGGATATTTACCTCACACAGTTCATCTTTGGCATAGTGGAGGTTCCTGCTCGTGTAGGTATTTTGCCACTGTTACAATATTTTGGAAGGAAAATTTGCCAAGGAGGAGTCCTGTTGTTCGGAGGTGCTGCTTGCCTTGGCATCCTTGTTATACCAAAAGGTAACAACCTTGGCTTTGAAATGTTCTATTTAAAAAAAAAAACACAATTATCCTTCATTTTTTTGCTACTAGGTTATCTAATGGTTGTGGTTATAAAAAGTCCAGCCCTCATTACAGAAAAGCAATTTGTTTCCTCATCAGATCTTCCCGTTGTGATCACAGTAATAGCCGTTCTGGGCAAATTTGCTGCCACTGCCAGTTTTGCTACAGTTTACGTTTATACAGCAGAGCTATACCCCACTATTCTGAGGTAAGGAAGTCATGACCTGAAGGCAAAATTAAGAATCCCTCTTTGTCATTTGGGAGAAGAGTTGCTTTATTGAAGTGATGAGACAGCTGACGGCTTGATCTTCTGTCCTGCCAGGCAGAACGGCGTGGGTCTGAACTCCATGTGTGCTCGAGTGGCAGGAATCCTTGCTCCACTGATCCGTCTCTTGGATGTTTACCATTATACCATCCCCATGTTGATTTATGGCATTGTCCCCATCGTGGCTGGAGTTCTCTGTGTGCTGCTACCTGAAACTCGCAACGCCGAGCTGCAGGACCTTGCTGAAAACAAGTGAGTTTGCATGTTCCCCTCACCCCCTCCTACCAGTTGGCTTATGTTGATAGCTAACCACTCAGTTCTGTTTATAATTTCAGAAAATCTTCTGATGAAATCACAGAGAAAGGATCCTGTGCTCAAGATAATAAAGAAGAAAAGAGCACAAAATTGTGATTGTTTCGGAGGATACTGACATTATGACTGATATTATAGTTATTTTTTTATTGAGTTAACTGTAGAGTTCACCATTTGAATTACGTGTCACATTTTATTAGTTGTTACAATTGAAAATTTTTTGACAGTCCAAAGATAATGGGTCACAAATAAATTAAAGTACTTTTAGTACTTTTTTCCCCTTTTCTTTTTAATGATATGTAAATGTTAATATGCGTCTTTAACAGTCATGTGTATCATAACAGAAAAGCAGTGACAATAAAACAGATTCTGTCTGACTGTGATATATTTACATCCTAAACAGGTCTACATATGTGCTTCCTTATTAGAATATATATATGTATTGCAAACCATTGAGAAGAGATGGACCAATTATTTTTTCACTAACCATTTAGTTGTTTATTGTTACAAGAAGAAAACTGTCATTGTGAGATATTATGATTGATTATGACACATATAACTGATATCTGAAAGCCCTAAATACTAACAGTACCATTTGAATAGTTAATTTTTCTATTTGAATAGGTTTTTCCAAGTTGATTCCATGAGAGAATAAGATATCAATGTAATTATATGTGGACATGTGATTGAATGCAATCATTGTGTGCTGTTTATTTATTTGCATCACTGAATTGAACTATTATTCAGAAGAGACCTGTTTTATAATAACTTATATTGATCTTATAATGAAAGGTGGATTTGCAAGATTGCCACTGTATACAGTCAAAAACAACCAAAAGGCAAATGTATTTTTTTCACCCGTAATTGTATTATCAATATAAAAAAACAAAAAAAACAAAACAAAAAAAAAAAACACTGGTACAACCTCCCTGACACTCATACTGGCTGATGGTTCCTTTTAGTGACTCTGACCACAGAAATAAAATTAGAAAACATGCAATGAAAGCATTCTTTGTGGAAATCGTGAACAAAAATATTAATAATGCTCAAGCTTTACTTGCATCAGTTGACAAGTCCACAAACCCTCCTGTGATTGAACCATATGAACTTCACTAAAGGGTCGGCAATGAAGTTCACATGTTATGGCAAAGAAAATTTAAAATAAATTACAGGTTTAATCTGCACATCCATTAGTAAACCAAACACATGCAGAATAAATGACCCAATTCCAACAACTCAACTATAAAAGCTTAGAAGAACTTATGAGTCAATTAAAGTCAAGTTCCATAATTCAGCAACATGATTGTTTCTGGCTGTGTCTGCTGTTTTGGCAAAGAAATGTCTTAGTTGCTGTTTCTTAATGACAAGAGAATCTTCATGCTTCCTAGCTAATTTTCTGCTAAATTAAACTTTTATTACTGGCACAGAGAGTTGGCGGCACAGTATTATACATGTATTATTAACAGATTAAATGATGCTTGTTTATTAAGCTTGTTTGTCACTTTAAAAACATGCTTTTCATTGAGCACACATTTCTGTCTTTAAAATGTTAACTGGTCTGATAATGCTCTGATCATTTAAGAAACTAAGTCTTGTTTTCATTAACTACAAGTTGAAAATCAGCCTTGGATCGGCTTGAAAGGCTTAAAAGGTTGGTCTTTGTATAATTTGTCACTAAGTGAACTGAGTTAAGAAAACAGGGTGACTTTTGAAAATTCAAATGTATGCGTTATTACTATAATTGTCTAATTATTGCAGCTCTTTGCAATACTGACGTACTGTATGGCAGAGCAAAACTGGCAGTGGCAGCAGACAAAGAGAAAGAACCTATTCAGTCCATGTTGCTCATGTAAATAGTGGGCTTTGAAATAAATTAAGTTGGAGTAAGAGTATTGTTTAAGACATTTCAATGCTCACATAGATGTCGTACTCCTCAAAGGATTTATTTAGCAAAAGCCTAAGTTTCCATTTGGCTCCATTAATAACAGAGGAGGTGGCCAGGCTGAATGTTAGAGAAGCACACAATTTTATAGCGGAACGTTTTTCACGGTCGTGTTGGCGCATTGCATACGTCACAGACAAACAGTAGCTATTGGGTAAAATCAGATCCAGTTAAAGCCCACTGTTTAAAACTTCACAAAGTCCATTCTTCTGATTTTTGTTCCTGCTTTATCAGTTAATTAGAGAACTAAGCAAACAAAGTAATGAGCTGTCTTTCATTTGTTGTGGATTTTTATTTATGATGATAATCTTCTCATCTTGGTCATCTGCAATTTGTATCTCTACAATGGTTGTTTTAGAACATATTACACACCTTTAACCTCATTTAAAAAGCTCATAAACATTGTGACTTTCATCTTGCCTTGCTCCTTATCTTATGTTCTATAAAGGGAAGAGTTATTGCTCAAGTTTAGTCTTTACACTGGAGGTGTGCCATGGAAAGATTTTCAGAAATTGTGAACCACCAGAGTGAAAGTGCTACATATAGCAGATGACAGAAAAACAAATCTGCTGCAAGATACAATGACGTTTGAAGAACAAACCTGAGCATAATCAATAGTAATGGATAATTACTTCACTGTGATTCAGATTTCACCTGAACTCACATATACCTGATACTTAAACCCACCCTGGGATACTGATATGAATGCAATAGTTTCTAGTAAAATCTTAAAAGTAAAATTTCTGCTTGTTTTGAGACATAATAATTAACTAAAAACAAAAGGTTTATTAATGATTGTCAGTAGAAAAAAAAAACACTCCGCTGTAGGCGGTGTATAGATTTACGGATGAGTTAGTTTTCTCTTCTGTGTAAAGTTCATTTAAATTTTTGAAGCTGACTCTACCTGCTGTGGTCATTGAATTGGAAAATATATCCCGTTTGTTTTTCCAAGGCACAAGTGCTAACTATTTACTATTAAAAAAGCTACAACATAAATTCTCTCTGTGCATAATTTGTAAATCAGTTTTTATTGTACTTGCATTGAAAAAAGGTCTTGTGGCTATACATTATTTGGATTTGAAGGAATACAAATAAACTAGTTTAAACTAGTTATTGGTTTCATTATGAATGACAATTAAGCCATCTGTGTGTGTGAACAACATAGTAGAAATGATGAATAAGAGATTTAAATAATGATTAGTCATAAATAATGTTCACCTAATAGTTTGCACAAATTATTACTTTTGATGTCATTGTTTGGATAACGGTGATAAAAATGTCAGAATACCAAGTGTTTAGAAGAAACCCATAATTTGTATGAATATCTGATGGCAATATATTTAAGGAGTGAAATAACAACATCTGCTTTTCCTTGTAGGCCCAACCAATGATGAAACAAAATTTGAACTTCTATGTTGCAATGGAAATATTCATATTTACAGCTGTCTGTAAACATGAATATTTGCAGTTAGTAAATATTCAACTGAATATTATAAATAATATTTTTTTATCATCTTATTGTATGCTTGTAAAACGAATTAATTAACTCAGTTGTTTTCACTTATAACACAGCTTTATGGTAACACGGTTTTTATCTTTTGGGCCACTATCTGTGTTGTTTCCCACTCAATGACATTTTATTGCTGTCGTAATAAATGTTCCCCTCAATAGAGTCACAAATGCAGTTACAAGGACTATCTTATTTGTGGTTAGTTAAATATTAAACCTGTTTCTACTGTGTACGTCTATGAGAAGCCTCTGTTAAACGTACCACATGCCAAGATGAGCAGCTTCGGAGACGTCTTGAAGGAGGTCGGGGAGTTTGGCTTGTTTCAGAAAAGCTTACTTGTTGCTTTATGCATACCCAGCATTTTCCCGGCTTTCGATGTCAGCAGTCAGGTGTTTGTGGGGCTGAGTTTCTCTCACTACTGCAACACTGACTGGATCTTGGAGAGAGGTCCAAACCTGACAAAAGAGAGACAAAGAAACCTCACCATCCCGGTGGATAAAGATGGGGGATTTGAAAAGTGTATCATGTTCACCCCCAAAAGAGGCATTTTTTTTCTTAATTTATATCTAAATTACTTATTCTTTTGATTTTCCATGGCACAACTTGAATTTCAAACCATTTGGGGTTTTCAAAATTAAGAGAGAAATAATTTCTACATTTCCAAACCTACACCTTCTTAGATGTTTATGGGCTGCTGTTGAGATGCAAAAGAAATATGCACTTTTATGAATATTTGCAAAAATATTCAGAAAATTTGAAGAACAGTGACTTAATGGTAGGCAATCAGGTCTGGTATTTGATGGGCATAATGTAATGTTTGTTCTGATAACAAATCAAAATAAACAATAAAATGTGAAATAGCTCTTTGTGTCACAGCCTCAGGAGAAGCCAATTTGACAGCATTGTCTTGTTTTTTGTAGTTTGTGGAAAATAAAGCCAAAGGTGAATGTTTCGGCCTTAAATATTCAGAATTTTTTAATAGGCAATGAAAGAAATCTGATTGGAAAAGCGTTCAACTGTGAATTTGAGGAAGGCCAGGTCTTTAAAGTTGTCATCCTTAGTGATCATCATCAGTATAATACCGGTAGAGTTGAACTAAAGAAGCTGTAAAGACTTGTTTGTTGGTCCTGGAGGCTGCAGCCAATGACTGTCTGATTGCACACATGAGTAAAGTGGCCTTCTACCATCCTATAGCAACTCTAATCTCAAAATATCATAGATATTTATGAGAATGCATTGGATATTTATATCGAAATACGGAAATTGTTATTTACAAGACAAAATGGAGGCAGGAATCCTTACTCTTGCACTATTAAAGATTTTAATTTGTGAAATAAGCACTGAGAATGTAATATGCAAAGCACTTCAGATCAGCTGATATGCCCGAAGGCTATCTGTAACTTAATGTTAATTTTAAAGAGTCGTGTTCAGTTTTATGATTAAAAAAAAAAGAAGAATTTTGTGTGATTTCTTTCCATTCTGTTTCAATTTTATTTTCTAATAAAGCTGTTTTCTTTTCCAGGTTTGGTAGAAGATTTGTGATCCTGCTTTCAATTCTCCTTCTACTGTTGTTTGGTGTGATCACGGCTTTCTCACCAAACATCTACGTTTACATAATCTTTAAATTTTTATGTGGGTCTTCAGGTAGCGTCATTATTATGAACACGTGTTATGGATAGGTCAACGTTTTATTGTTTTGTTTTGTTTTGTTTTGCTTGAACCCTGTCTAATACAAATCTTATGCATTTAGGTCTAAGTACAGTACAAAGGGACAGTTTTCACATGACAAACTTTTTAAGCTCTTACTTTTCACCAGTGTCACATAATTATGACCATAAGTGACTTTTCTTCTACTCTGGTTTTCAGCGGTGGAGTGGACTGACGTTTCAAAGTCTGCTCTTTGCACAATGTCCATCATCAGTTTCTTTTCAATTGGACAGATGCTTCTGTCTGGTATTGCATATTTGATTAGGAACTGGAGGATCTTGCAACTCGTGCTTTTCAGCCCTCTTGTCATAATACTGATGACCTTCTTCTGGTTAGTAGCAGAGAAATTACATTACAAACTAAAACATTGCTTGAGCAGTCTTTAGTCTTGTTTCAACAGGCTTCTCCCAGAATCATCTCGATGGCTGATGACGCAGGACAGAAAGGAGGAGGCTGAGAAGGAGCTCCACCGGGCAGCTAAGATGAACAAACGAAGAGTACCAGGTCACCTACTGGAAAAGGTTTTCATCCACATGTAAACTTCAAAAACCTCGAATGTCTTCCTCAGACCTGATGCTAATATATTTACTTGGATGGTTTTGAATTTACAGCTTTATGTTTTCACATGCATCTTTAAATATGAGGTTTTTCTGTGACATCACAAAATACAGCCAAGTAGGCTTAATTTCTTGATGTGAATTGTAACAACTAAGTTACTTGATTGACATAAGAGACATTCTGAGACACATTGCAAGGCATTAGTTATACAAAAGTTGTGTTTTACATGACGAAGGTATCCTATCACAATTAATACATAGATCCTAAATACAAATATTTATCATCTAAAATAAAATGCCACTGAAATTTCCTTAAATTGGATGAAAGTCAGTTAGGATGATGCACTGTCTAAATAAACCCATAAACACAAAAATGTCTATAACTGTATTTTTGTGGAAATTTTCCTAAAGTTCATTTTCAACATTTTAGATAAATTTGGAATCTACTCCGGACAGAAAGAACATGACGGACATCTTCCACAAATCAGATTTGAGGAAATGCACCCTAATAATGAGCTTTAACTGGTTTGTCTTCTTAAGAATCCATTTCCTTTAAAAAGTTACCACGTGCAGATATATCACAGTAGTCAAGCTAATGGTGCATCTGATTTCAGGTTTGCAGCCAGCTTCCTGTTTTATGGACTGGGCCTAAATATAGAGAGTTTCGGCCTAAACATCTACCTCACCCAGCTCATCTTTGGCGCTGTTGAAATTCCTGCCAACATGGCTTGTTTGACTATGATTCAGAGTTTTGGGAGGAGAATATGTCAGGCAGGCTTTCTTTTCCTTGGAGGAGTCTCTTGTTTGGTTGCCACTGCTGTCCCAAGAGGTAATTGTATTAACCGTTTCTTGTTTGTGGTATTTTACACCTTTTTGTTAAATTTTTTTATTTGCTAATCACATTTGTTTTGTACCCACCAGCCCTACCTGAGGCTGTGACAGTCATTGCTATGGTGGGAAAATTTTCTGCTACTGCTGCCTTCACTAAAGTCTATGTCTATACAGCTGAATTATATCCTACTGACATAAGGTATTACTGCTTATTCCTTAAAAAAAACCCAACTGTGAGGTCTAGAAAAGAAGGGGGAAAAAACTGATTTAGCTAAAAAATGCATTGAAATAAAGATTAAAAAACAAAGCTGAGACAACTTTTTTCACTTATGTTTTTAGTATTCAACATTATACGTACAACTAACTAATTAGTATGTTCGTAATGTTATAACAGAGAGAAATTCTGTTAGTAAATAATGAAGTGCTTTAATTTGAAACATGTCTTAATGTGTATTTGTGCAATGCAGCCCAAATGTAACATTATTTGTTCAGATAGAAATATTAGTATTTTTAAATGCCAGCCAACATTAAGTCATTCCAAACACAAAAAAAACAAACTTTCAAATACACATTGCAAACTCTCACTATGCATGTACCAAAGAATGCAGACAACACTGTCCAAATCATATTAACTTGTCACTTAACTTATTTTAAATAGCATCTTCTTTCATTTTCTAGAGAAGTAACATTACCGCCACCTAGTGGTACATTTGTTCCTTATTTTCATCCCAGAGCGATTCCACAAGAATCGCTCTGGGATGAGGCCTGGAAGAAATCTCATATCCTCTGTGATAACCTGCTAAAGTCACCAAGCTTCTTTCAAAATATTATATTGTAATGTACAAATGTAAAATAAGAAAAATGTGATTGTTAAAGTTTTGGTGTTGAAAATATAATCCAATTCTGTATAGGGGGCTGAAAATAAGAGCTAGTTAAAGAATTAAATGACTGTGAACATCACATTTTACTTTATATATTCTTACATATTTGGTTGTGTAGAGCCACATGTCGTTTGGTATTAGTGCTCAATTCATTAATGAATTTCCCATACAAAATATGTCTATATAGACATATTTTAAATGCGACAGTAGTTAAAATATGGCTGTGCTATCTTGCAGACACAGCGGTATGGGTGTTAACTCTATGTGTGCTCGAGTGGCGGGCATCCTCTCTCCACTGGTCAGGTTCTTGCAAGCCTACCACTACAGCATTCCCATGGTGGTTTATGGCATCATCCCAATGGCTGCTGGTTGTTTAAGCCTGTTGCTCCCTGAAACCCTCAATGTTGAACTCCAAGACCACATTGAACTGAAGTAAGATGAAGTCAGTGAAAGCAACATGTATTACTTTCACTGCATTACACCGTAATTAATATGTGTGTTGCTTGTTATGTTTTTGAAATAGAAAATCCACAAATGCACCAGAGGGGAGCCAATGCTGCGATGATGGAATGGAGGAGAAACTATAAATTTGAATATAAACGACATTGTTGCATTTCTTAATCATTTATTAACATTTGTAACAGATCTAATTCAAAAAACATTTTAGGAGGAACTGTTTAAATATGTTGAATGTGATTGCACAGCATTTTAGACAGCTTTACATGTATCTTTTAAAAATGTGTTTTACAGTTTCTAAGTTTATTTGATTTTAATTTGGGTCACAAAAATCCTAACATTTCCACATTTGTACATTTAATAAACTTAGGAAACCAAAGCTACGTTTCTCAAGACTTTCAAAATTTCTTACTATCGCAGTCCCCGTTTTTTTTTTTTCATTTTGATATATCATCAATAAATAATAACCTTTGTGTGTTTTCTGTGCTGTCTAAAGTTTAAGCAGAAGTTTAAATTCAGCTATATTTAAAATCTGTTATGTCTATAGTTTGAGTTCTAGACAAGATCCTCTCACACTAATTGCAGAAGTACAGTTTAAGCCTGTAAATGTGCCATTTTTTGTCAGATTAATCTATCAAAAGATTAATCGATAACTAAAAGAATCACTTCCTGAAGCCTAATTTACTTTAGAATGATGTCAAACATAATCATTTATAAAACTATAGTTCTATTCCCTGTACTAAATATATTCTTCTCTGATACATAGATGATGCACATAGTGGGTGTCCTAACTAGATACTCCACTGTTGCACCTTATAATCAATGTGCATTGTATAGTCAATGTCTCGTCACTGTTCAGAACATTAACTATATGAAGGATTCTTTTTTCAGCTTTAATTAAAAAATTAAGGAATGGAACGGTTGGTTATGTGTGCTGCACTGAATATGCAGAAGAGAATCTATTATTTACACCTTTTCTTTCCTGTTTAATGACAGAAATAAAAACTTGGACAACTATAGTTGAGCCACAAGGGCTCACAAATGCTTTTACTTAAGAATCTGGAAGGTAAAAGCATATATCCTGAGACAGACTGGACTTTAAGTCAATTATTCTATCATAGAAGAGTTGAATGTTGGTCATTTGTGAAATTATTAATGGTAATAGTAATAATGTTTGATGTGAGAAGGATTACTGCTGATCAAAGGAAGTTAGAAAGTTAGACCAGACTAAGAAGACTTAAGACATTTCTTAATCTTCTGCCCACTTGTTGTTTTTTCAAATGATGTTGCACATTCTTTTCGTTAGGGGTTACCATAAATCATTTTGTCACCACTTTCGATCTGCTTGAAAGAATGATAGCTATCGGCAGGACAATGAAGTGTCATTCCAGAGTTGTCGATGTTTTCGCAGGTCCATGGTTAACTTTCAGGGGTTTCTCCATAACCGGTGAAGGGAGAGTGAGAGTGAATTCTTTTAAAGCTGAAACTGCTTTTAGTGTTTCATTACAAGAGAAGTTTTTTTTGCCTTTTTTTCAAGTTTAAACTTTTTAATGCTTTCTCAGATTGCAGAAATGTGGACTCTCCTCTGGTATCAACTGCGTTTCAACACATGTATTGATTCTGCTGTTTCTTTTGATCTGCTCTGTATTGTTGCACCTGTGAGAGTAAGAACACATTTGGGTGGTGAAACTTGATGATCTTCATTGACCTCATTTAAATATTGAGGGTGTTTTCTTCAACCTAAAACATTCCCTTTATTTTAGTCTGATGTGAGATAGAGGACAATGTTTGTTTTGGGGGTTTTTTTGCGACTTGTTCCTGCAATCGTGATAACAAATGACTAAATGGTTATGTGCCTTTCTTGATTTTGACAATAGGCTGATTTGAAATTCTAAGCTAATATTTGGTTTGTATTTCATGGTAGCAGTTAGACTGGTGTGGTTATTACAGCTTTAAAGATATTTTTACTCTTTCTTGTTATTTAGTTGGTTTAACTCCATTTTGTTTGAACTCTTAACTTGCATTGTTTATAGAAGAGTTATTTCTTTATCATTTGTGTTATCAATAGTTTGGCTATTAACAGTACTTTATGACTGTTCCTTGAACAGTCATAAAGTAAGAAGAACTGAGGACATACTATTGCTTTCCTTTGGCTTAGCTATGCTTGGCTAATTATTAAGTGTGCTTAAAAGTGGCTTTAGAGTCTCTACTCCTCCTTCAGATCCTCAAACTGCTAATGGATGAGCCACATGCCAAGATGAGCAGCTTTGGAGAGGTCCTGAAGGAGATCGGGGAGTTTGGTTTATTTCAGAAAAGCTTACTTATTGCGCTGTGCATACCCAGCATTTTCCCCGCTTTCGATGTGACAAGCCAGGTGTTTACTGGGATGAGTTTCCCACATCACTGTAACACTGACTGGATTTTGGAGCGTGGACCAAACCTAACCAAAGAGAGGCAGAGAAATCTTACCATCCCCGCGGATGAGAATGGAAGATTTGAAATTTGTAAAATGTTCACACCTGTGAATCTGGATTTGGAAACAATTGAAAAGTATGGTCTTAACGAGACAACAGGATGCATCAGTGGCTGGGACTATGAGGTCCAACCTGGTGTTTCCAACATTGTGACAGAGGTAAAAAATAAAAACAAACATAATAATGTGCAGCTGAAGCCAATTATTTAAATTCATAGTTTAAAAAGACACAAAAGTTGTGTGTTTTTCTTAACCAAAGCTAGAATAAAAATGTTTTTTATTACATCAGGTGGGATTTTCAAAGGTTAGATCTAAGAGATTTACTTATTTTGGTTTTGGAACTTGTTTGGTAAATGACAAAAGCTGGCAAAAGCTGAAAAAAAAAAAGCGTATCATTGTACTCAACAGGCATGCCCAATGTAAGGCTTGAGGTTCATTTGCTATCCATTGGGGAATTTTGTGTGGCTTCTTTCAAGTAAAAAGGAGCCACACTTGAGTAAAAACTTGACTCAACAGCACAAGCAGAAAGGAATCTTTTTTTCATTTTATTTTTTGAAGGTGAGCAGGAAACTATATCCCCATATTTGGATCAGCAAATCTGGAAAAACAACTTTACGGACTTCTGAAGAGGTTTGAAAATCATGCACTTAAACCTTTTTAGTGCTTAGACCAGATGATTTTCAAACTTGCTTTATTCACCTTTTTTTTCTACAAAAATCAGACAACGAAATATGGCATCTTTTGATTTTTTGTACGCAGGTGTCTCATGAGTATATTCAACCTGACAATTTTGGCTCGTGGGCCAAAAAGTTTGGACCCTACAAGTCCTAGTTTGCAGTCAAAAGCCCCCTCCTCACTGAAGAAAAGAGATACTTGAAAGAGCTAGATTGTGCAGATACACATAGGGAGGAGTCCTTAATTACTGAAGATATAGTGAGACAAAAATGTAAGTTAAAGGCAATAATTATGTGGGGTTCTTTTCATGTTTTATTCACATTTCTGCCATCAACAGTATATCTGTGTTTCTCTTGCATACTTTGAAGGTTTTCCTTGTCGATCTTTATATTTTCTGCCCTGTCTCTGTAACTATTGCTCCTTTTTGCAGTTTAATCTGGTTTGTGACAAAAGTGGTTTAATTGAGGCATCACAGTCCATCTACATGGCTGGAGTTCTGGTCGGTTCGCTGATTTTTGGGACAATTTCTGACAGGTACTACTTTTCCTTTAAGCATCAGCAGAGCTGTTGCCAGAGCAGGCTTTACAAATTTGAGATTATTCCAAATCCAAGTCAAATTATGTTGCATTCTTTAAAATTCTCAAACAGGATTCTGAACTCCAGTTAGTGATTGATGTACACAAGCTAAAAATGAACAGGTTGTTGCTACAGAGTTGTGATCAGCAGACACAATTTTACCTGAGAAAAACAAGTCTCTGAACATCAGAACTAATCTCAGACTAGATAAGTGGACCAAAGCTGTTAAAAGAGTATTTAATAAGAACACAATTGCAATTCATCCTGAAGACCACGTCAAGTCCATGTCCGTCGAAGCTATGCTGCATTTGTTATTGTTAAAGCCAGATTGCCATCTGAAGAAAAAACAAAAACTTAAATTTGTTTGACTTACACTGAATACTTTTCTTTCAGACTATTTCTCTGGACAGTTTCTTCAACAGTGTTAATTTCTGCATTTCAGAAATCACATGTAACAATACCTTCAGGTGTTACCTCAGTTTTCTTTTATTTTAAATGGTCAAGATTATGTCTTGATTTTAGATGTGGACTTGAATCCGTATCGAATTACAGTTTGCCTATCTCTCAGTTTATTGTTTTATGAACTGAATGTGCTTTTGATTCTAGTCTGCTCTTTATCTTAAAAGATCTGAACAAAATTTGAAGAAGTAGTCTTCAATTTTTCTACTTCACAAATCTGCAACAAACCTCCAGAGTTCTGTGAAACATCCAAAAAAATATAGATGTATTGCATTTGTCATAATAAAATGTAGAGCACAACCTAGCTCATTTAGAAAGTGTTAAAATTTACTGTTCCTCTCTTTAGGTTTGGCAGAAGATTTGGGATCCTTCTTTCAGTTTTCGTCCTGCTGTTGTTCAGCGTTTGCACAGCTTTCTCACCAAACATCTACGTTTACATGACTTTCAAATTTTTATGTGGAACTGGTGTTGTTATCATGAACACATTTGTGATGGGTGGGTTCATTGTTTTGCTTCTCCTTTATGTTCAATATCATTGTTCTGTGTCCTAATATCAGAAGCAGTAAGATTGGCAAGCTTTTTTTTTTTTTTTAAAGTATCAAACTTTTCAAACTGTAATATCAAGTCTATTTTACTACTTTTCAGTGGTGGAATGGACAGATCCTTCAAAATCGGCTCTCTGCACAATGTCCATCATGAGCTTCTTTTCAATCGGACAGATAATTTTGTCTGGGATTGCTTATTTGACAACAAACTGGAGGAACATGCAGCTGCTGCTCTTTAGCCCTCTTGCCATTGTACTGGTGACCATGTTATGGTGAGTAGATGGTATATTATTCTTGAAGCAAGTAATTTTACATCATAAAATTTTATTCAAGGAAATTTAGGGTTCAAACTGAACACATTTTTTTTCTCCCAGTTGTCTTCCAGAGTCAGCCCGATGGCTCGTGTCTCAAGGCAAGAAGGAGGAGGCTCTGAAGGAGCTCCAACGGGCCGCCAAAGCCAACAAGAGAA